ATTCAAGGATTTCGGATCGACAGAAGGATTGAAAATGTTCTCCTAAATTGAACTCCAATGGCAGGAAACAAATCATCCGGTCGCACCCCTCTCGACTGGAAGACGAGATTGGAGATTGCTCTTGGAGCAGCCCGAGGCATCGAGTATATCCACTTGAAAAGCTCTGGCCTCTCCCATGGCAACATTACGTCATCCAACATCGTTCTCGCCAAATTCAACGAAGCTCTTGTCTCAGACTTCGGCTTAAACAGTCTCGGGTCAACTCCAATGCCAAGTCAACGCGCCGCCGGCTATCGTGCACCAGAGGTCACCGACATCCGAAGGGTCTCCCAGAAGGCTGATGTATACAGCTTCGGCGTGCTCCTCATGGAGCTACTCACAGGGAAGCCACCGACGCAGGCGCTCAACAACGAGGACGGCGTCGACCTCCCCAGGTGGGTGGAATCGGTTGTCAGGGAGGAATGGAACTCCGAGGTGTTCGATCTTGAATTGTTGAGGTACCAAAACGTTGAGGAGGCAATGGTACAGCTGCTGCAGTTGGCCATTGATTGTGCTGTACAGTTCCCAGAGAACCGACCTTCGATGTCTGAGGTTGTGGCTCGGATCGAAGAGATCTGCAGAGGTTCGAGCATGAGAAATCAGCAGCAAGGTGGCACCATCATCGACACAGCTGGTGCCATATCAAACAGTGATTGAGCTTTACATGATGATAATTGCACTGGTCTTATCATCTTAAGGATGTCTTGCCTCCATGGATGAATCAAAGTTTGATCGTTCTTTTATTCCTTCTCCCTTTGAGTCCTAACTGTTATATGTTGGATTTTGGCTCTAAAACTCATGTCATCATTTTTTTGATGTTGAGACTCTTAATGTTTTAGGTAGATGTGATGGTGTGATTGGTGGCTGCTTGGCCATTGTTGCAATTGCATTCCACTCTTCATACTATATATAATATTGTAGTAGTTTTTTGTAGCTGTGGTTGAAACTCTCAATTAAGTATTCAGTTTGTCTGTGAATCTGCTAATGCTTCCATTTGTTGTTGTCGTTTTGTTGTAATTTGTCAACCATCCAAATCATGTATGTTTCTGTGAAAATGTCATAATGGACTTATTCTCCCTTTGGATTGTGTAAATGGTTAGCATGTCCTCAATGCAAGGCTCTATTTATTGGTCACCAACTCTTTGTCTATGGCTCACTATGTGTCAGCTTTCATGGTCAAGAAAAGAACATGACAGGGTTGTCTCATGTGACAAGGTGACATTTTGATTGTGGGTTCCACTCCACAGAGTGAAGTTAGTCATTAATGGGTGCTTTTGACCTTGTTGCTTTCAATCATCAAGTGAGTCTTGTGAACCAGGAATCCTAGGTAGTTTCAATATAGCCTCATATATTCTATTAATTTGGCAAAGCAATGCAGATACTTCCACTGTGTTTTATCTAATCAGAAAGAATAAAAGAACAGACTTCACTTGGGTTTGGTGGACATCAATTGATGGTTAGATTACTCTTCAAATGTTTGAGATCTTGCCACAAGTTGGCATATATTTTATGATCAAGCTTCAGTGAAGATCTCACAAGTGAGATTCCATCCAGTTCAGGACCCAGATTAAGTTATTATATATTTTATAAGAAAGAAGTTAAAGATTTATTATTCTGAACAGCTGTGCAGATCTGTGATCAAGTTGGATATTTTCTATTCCATTTATATGATTCTTGTAAATTTGTGGGAGGCAAGCCTGCCTCTTGAGGTAGATTTGGATGATGAGAAATAGATAGGAAATATCAATATCAAAGGGCATATATCAATTATATATACACATATTAGCTGGTTGGATTTTGGATTGAGAGACACTGAGGCCATGGATTGATTCTGAAGCTTTAATGAGATCATCACATGCCACCAGCACTATTAAGAAAAAGAAATAACTCCAATTGATTTTTTAATGCTCCTATTAAGAAAAAAAATAAGAGAAATTGCATATTGCACAGCTATATTTAAGTTCTTTTGTACTTTAAAATATATCTCCTTTTAATTTTTCACTCTTGTCATTGTCCACATCATGTCCAGGCAAAAAGGTTTTCTAAAAATATTTTTTAGGTATAGAAAAAAAATGATAGGGTTGAAAAATAATATGAGATAAATTCAGGCTGGCATAAATAGGTTTGAATGCATTACTTTAATGTTAAAAAGGATAAAATTTTATTGTTAAATTCTGATTATATAAACATTTTTAATCCTCCATCTGATGTATCATTTAATGACTGACAACCACATGATTAAAGTATTGAGCACAAGGTTTTAATTTCTATTGGATTAGACCATTATGTACCATCATATTAATTAGGCCTATTCCCATTGGAATTAAACAATCCTTACCTATCAACAGCTCCAAATTTTTTTTCAAATCTTATTGTCATGCCTTGACATTGAAGAATTATTTGTCCAACCTTTCCCTTAAAATTAGGATCTGGACAAAAGCTCTTGACTCACTTGAAATCCACATCACTTGACATTGACTAATGTAAATCATGCAAGTTTAAAATGTTTGGCTAAATATTTGAGTCAAACCAATTCGACTTAAGATTGTTCAAAATAATTATAAGTTTTTTGGTGAACTTTGAACAATGTTTTAGAAAGTGAAGGAAGCTTGTTAAACACAATGCTAGCTTTGTGAAAAGAAGAGAAAGCTCAAAGATAAAGAAACAGAAGATAGCTTTATACAGAGAATGATAAACCCTAATAAAGCAGATTTGATTCCCATAGAAATCATATCAAAACATTCCTCCAAGAACAATAGAATCTTGTTTCTGCAACATGCCAACTATCTGATCTGGATCTTAAACCCAAAAAATGAGACAAAAGAAATCTGCTCATGCTTTAAGAACTGGTCATGGAACTACATCTTCCATGAACTTTCTCAGCATTGAACTGTTGAATAATCAGATTTTTGAGTGAGGACAAGACATCAACTCCTCCCTCTTTGCAAGCCTCTCAGCCCCTCTCTTAATTCCTGGAAAGATAGTAACCAATGCAAGTCATATTCCAAGAAATTGGTGCTGCCAAACTGCTGCTTTGGATCAATATGAAACAAAAGAACTAGAAGACAGAATTGGAATTGGAATTGATAGCTACTGCTACACACATATGTTGATCATATTAAATATTAGATGAAGGGAAATAAGTAGTTGCTGAGTTATTGCACTACACATAAAGAGGGGTGGCAGCATCTCATCAGAAACAATGAAGAGGGGATGAAGAGTTGGAATTAGTGTAGGTAGGACTTGTATATAATTTCTCTTGCAGTAGCTTCGTAGCTGTTTCCTATAACATTGAATGAGTCAGTCCTCCCCAAAGAAGAAGGAAATAGGAAATTGTGAATATTATTTCAACAATCTGTACTTATGTTGAAATGGGATGTCTTCTTAAGCCATATCTGACTTTAGAACAAGTCAAAGATATGTTGAAACGAGTATCATTATGTTCAACATTTTAATGAGTCAGCTTGGAGTTGACAGGTTCAGAATATTGAACTTGACATCATCAAGTAAACATCCACTGATTCTTTTTCATAGAAAATATGTAATTTTATGTGACAACATTATTATTATTATTTTTTTTAAATATTTCACTTTTATTATTTTTTGTTTTAATCAAAACTACTAAAATGTCATCGTCGCCCTACGATAATTTTATTGGGCTTAGATATTTTAGATCAGTGATTTAGATTCATCAGATCAATCAATTTGAATCTTCACTATTGGTCCTTATAAAATGTTTATTAATAATGTTCTCTGATTCAGTGAAGCAGCAGAAATCACTTTATGAAGCTGTGGCTTTATTTCCTTGATCATTTTCTTTGGCATTTAATTTGATTATTTTGTAGTGAGAAGCTCCAATTGGCCAATTTTTTATTCTCTTTCATTTTGGGTCAATTAGATATTCTTTGTATTGGTTTTTTTAAAATAAAAATTTAACTTTTATATCGATAATTGATATATTAATTCTACCTCAATTTTATAATTAAAAAAATAATTTTATAATAAAAAAATTAATCATATTAATTCTACATCATTTTTTTTATATATTCTTTAATTGTTTATCTCTAAGGTTTCTTTTTTGGTTTCCAAGTATTCTCTCCCTTCCTAACATATATTTACTTTCTGATATCCCCAAGTATGACTTTATTTAATACACCTCATAAATATATTAAGATGATTATTTTGGTGACGGGCTATGATTTAATTGAAAATTTCTTGAGAAATAAAATTAAAGTCACTTTCAAATCAAGAAGATATTGTGATTATCGATCATTGTTAGATTGTAAATACTAGTCGCGTCGATTCGAACATCAATCACCCAATAGATGAGCCAATAGACGAAAATTGATTCCATTGCGTTGAAGATTGTTAGCTTTCAATAGATCATTAGTTGTTAAGACAGCAAAAAAAAAAAATTTATCTAGTGCATGACGGTAGAACAATTAGTAATTATCAGCCATTATATAGACATAATTTCATGCTCAATAAATATGATTTTTTTCTGTACAAATAAGTGAAATTTATACTGCTATGAAGATGGTAATAATGAGCTCAATAAAGAGAAAAAAGGTCAAATAAATATATAGCAACAATAATAAAGTGGTAGAGTCTTAAAAAAAAATTATTCTTTCCTTATGTTCACATCATGTTAATCTTTTTTGTATCATTCTAATTTCATCGAATATCTTCGAAAAGACATTTGAGAAATATATTATCAAAAATAAAATTTTCTATGATTTTTATCACTTGAGAGTACACATGATGTTTAGATACCTTATCTACTCTAAAATCAATTAGTATCTTGTCATGTATAGCTTTCCTTCCACATTTTGAAGGTTGCCATTCCCAATACTTTGTAGACTTTGAATTCCCCAAAGAGGTTCCACTTTCCATTTTCTTACATATTTACATACAAATTCTCTATCAGTGCCATGCACACACCAAGAACAAGAAGCAACTTTTCCTGCCCTTGATTTCTTTACATTATCCAGAAACTAATCTTGTTGGATTGAAGTGAAGTGAGGAGGGAAGCCAGTAGAAGGATAAATGGATTTGGATTGGAGAGAAGTCTGAGCCAGTAATCTGAGGAGGAGGAAGAGCTGTCAACTCCTCTTCATGGCATCAGTTCCTGGCTTCTTGGCTTTTTTCTGTGGTTCTCTTGGTTTTCCTTCTCTTTCCATTGCATGCAACATGTTTGTGTTGCCAAGCCTCTTGTTCTTAGGATTGAGAGTATGGTGCCTTGGGTTTCGCTTCCAGGAGCTCGATATGTTTCTCAGGCTGATCCCAAAGGTACCCATGAACTGGAAGAAGGAACTGTGTACTAATGGTGGTGTTTGTGCTGCTTGCGGCACCAAAATTGGAACTCGGAAGCCCTCTCAACCTGAAAGATCAAAGAGAAATAAGGTATGCTTGCTTGAGCTGGGGAGTAGAAATTGGACGATCAGAAATGGTTTCAAAGATTTATCTGATGAAGAAGGGGAGAATGATGGACTCCAGGGAGATGGTACAGTGAAGTTAAAGGAGAAGATTGCAGAGGAAAGGAAGCATCGGACCGCGGCGGTTTCTGAACCAGAGAAGGAGAGGGTAGCAGCTTCATCGGCTGCCGACGAGGCCATGGCCAAGATTGCAAAGCTACAGAACGAGAAAGGACTGATTGAGAGAGAAGCCCGGCTGTACCGCGAAATGGCAGAGCAGAAGCAGTCGTATGATGATATGGTGATCGAAACTTTGCATTGGATCATCATGAAACTTGAGGCAGGGAGATCAGCAGACATAATGAGAACCACAGTGTAGGATGGTGAATGCTCAAGCAAAACTACAAGGTGGCGTTAGAAAGTTTGAGCAGAGCAATGTCTGAAACTATCTGGAGTTGCAATGGTGGATTGAGGTGCCATTTCTTGTTCTTCTTCCATTTGCAGTCCAGAGATTGTGCAGGTTTTTGGTCTGATCCATTCTAGTAGGTGGATGTGTTTCACCTTTCTCCTGAATGATTGATAGTATGTGACATAAGTGATAGTTGTAGATACTAACATATATCAATTTTCTTCTACCAATGATCTCCAAAGTAGTATTAGTAGATTTAATAACCTTTCATTGATATGTTATAACCTCTGATGCATGGCATTCTTCATTATGTTGATGATTCAACAGACAAGCATGATCTTTATGAAATCTATTACTTAAATAAATCGAAGAAGGATCCTCCTATGATGATTTATCGCATGGCTATCGAAAACGAATCAAGTCGGATGATTCTATTCCTTAATATTTAAGACCTATTTTGTATACTTTGAATTTTGTTATAGAAGTTAGGATTTAGCAATAATAAAAAAAAATTCTTATCAGATTCATTTTCAAGCAACTAAATTTCAAGCATGCTAATTTTCACAATCCTTCATTATCTGATGTCAAAAGACTTGACAAAGGAATCATATCCTGGTGATGCAATAGCCTTTCAGAATAGTATCTTTTCTATGGGATGGTGAAGAACAAACAGAGCATATCAGATCACAAGCAGAATTCTGAAGATTTACTGGTCCTTACAAATAAAGCATTAGATTCCTTGAAATTTGCAAAGCAAATGGAGATGTTGTCATCATACACTAAGGCCAAAAAGAAAGAAAAGAAATAGCAAATTTCTCATATCAACGAGAATTTTGTTCAGCATATTTAACCTTTCCATTCTTTGTCAAATCCCACTCTTATTGCTTTGGCCTCTCACATGAAGAACAACCTAATGATTTAATTGGAAATTGCAGTGGGCAAGAGAGTCCTGGAAATTAGGAACTGAGAGATCTAAGAACTTTTTACAGATCTGGGAAAAGCCACCAGCAATCAGTTCATGGTCAAATCATGATTATACAATCCAACTGCTAGATGTTGAAACACTACTTCCCTAAATACTTCTTCTGATAACCTTTTACAAATTATGATCACAAACATAGAAGTTCATATCCTATCTTCTGAAATCCATTGCAAAGGCAAAGCTGATAGAAAAGCCATTTCAGACTTTCACAGCACATTACACAATGATCTTAGTATGTTTATTCTTCCCTACTTAACAGGAAAAGAAATGAGACTTCCCAATGAAACACAATTCATTAGAACACAGAGTTCCCTGAAATATAAGGATCCATGGCTGCTCCACTGCTCATGGTTCCCAGAGGATGGTGGTCTCAGCAATCATGGAAGTGACAATATATGGATCCATGTTCGATGCGGGCCTTCGATCCTCGAAATAACCTGAAGAGATGTATAACACATCCATCATAACTAAGGATAAAAGACTGCAATTAAGCAAATTGAATGAGACACAAGAAGAGTTGTAAGGAGTTCAACCTTTCCCATTTCTCTCTGTCTCACGGCCTACTCGAATGGAAGCTCCACGATTAGCAACACCCTACCGACCAAAATTTTGCAGCTTAATGAGAACAGATCTGAGACGACAGTAGAATAGTATGATTTCGATCAGGGAATGAATCACATACCCAAAGGAAGGTGTTGATATCAGCAGTCTCATGTCGCCCGGTGAGTCGGCGCTCATTGCCTTCTCCGTATGCAGCAATATGCTCTTTGTGCCTCTTGCCAAGCTTTTCGATGGCCTTCTTGATGACTTCGTATCCTCCATCACTCCTCATGGACTGGGTACTGGAAGCAGAAGTTAGAGTGAGACTTTGATGGCTGTCATTCTTTTCAATGGCAAATCATGTAAGCAGGATTCAATGATGAGGCAATTTGTGTTACCTGTAGTTTGTGTGAGCACCAGCTCCATTCCAATCTCCCTAGCAGTCACACAGAAATGATTTCAAATGGTGATTCCCATTCTGTCATCATATGCTTTAGGAAGGAAGAAAATGAGAACACAAATCTAACCTGGATTGGCTTTGGGTCAAAAGAAAGAACAACACCTGCAATTTCAGTGATCCTCTGGATGGAGAAAACAGAAAGCTTGAATTAGCCAATGGATACATAGTGAGTTATGTTCTCATAATCTCAACATTAATCACCTCAAGAATGTAACGAGCAATCCACAGTTCATCTCCAGCAGAGATGCCAACAGCAGGACCAACTTGAAACTCCCACTGCACATCATAGAAAGAGCAGCTGCTTACAAACACTATCAAGGAGGGGAGAGAGAAATGAGACCTTTTCACTGCAAGGAAACAAAGATTACCTGACCCGGCATGACTTCCCCATTGATGCCACTGATGTTGACACCAGCATAGAGACAAGCTTTGTAATGAGCATCAACTATGTCTCGGCCAAAAGCTTTGTCTGCCCCAGCAGCACAGTAGTAGGGTCCCTGCCACAAACAAGAAGAACACGACGATTGAATGAGCACACTCTGAGACATAAAATAGGAAATTAAGATCAAAACAAATGGAACTCTTCATCTCAAAGGAACATAAGTGATAACTATAGAGATTATACTTTCTAGTAGTATTGGATATTGAATTGTAGTAACTTTCATCATAAGAATTAAGTATCAAGATACATAATCCTATCATTTAATCAAGTATTTCTGAGAATAATTTGATTACCTGAGGACCAGGGAACCCACCAACTGGCCAACCAAGAGGCCACTTGACATCCTTTTGCAGAAGGGTGTATTCCTGCTCAATTCCATACCTATTATTCATGTAGAATGTGAAGCAAGGTTAGGATTCTTTCTAGAGAGAGAGAGAAAGAGAGAGAGAATAAACAAAATAATAAGGTGATCATATATATAGACATATACCATGGTACTTCAGCAGTAACAGCAGGATGGCTAAATATCTTAGCAGCATTGAACCTTTTGTTGGTGGGAATTGGCTCTCCGGCTGGGGTATAGCAGTCACACATGACCTACAAGTCAAAAGAACTGTTCCAGTTCTCTTGTACGTAATGGAGTTGAAGGAAACATACTATGCAAACCTTTCAAGAAATGAACACCTTCCTGGGATCAAAAGACTACACTCTACAGATTTATATAAATACAAGCATCTAATCAAAGACAAATGGTGTAGAATATTAATGGACATATGAATCAGAGCCAACCATAAACAATTTTAAGCCCCTGTAAATACTCCTGGACAATAAATGTTTTTGATATCTTACAAAAGCTGTGTTTGAATCTACTTACAAGAATGTTGTTGCCCCTCCTGAATGGATCCTTGAAGATGGCTTGAGGACTACACAACAGAGGCAATTTGTACAAGGAATTATAACACAAACAAGTCGGAATTAATCCAAAAAATACCTAAAACCGTAAGAAATGGAAAAAGGTGAGATGCAAGACTTACTACAAGATCACTTCACTGTCCTCACCAGGAGCTTGACCTGTGCTGGAACCATCATAATTCCACTTGGGAAGCTTAGAGGGATCAGTGACAGGACCAGTGAGAGTCTGCTCAAAAGGAACAAACTCAGTATTTTGGTAAGCAGTACAGAAAACATAACTACATATTACCAATCATCTAGTTAAGATAACAACAACATACCCTGGCTTTGCTTCGCATATCCATACCACTTCCTCCTATCCTGTTGCACAGAGTAAACATATACTAAATGTCATCTAGCAATTTGAATGGTAAGCAGAAACCATGAAACATATATTAACACTATTTTTTACACAAAGAAATAGTGTAAAATATATGTTTAAAATAATAAACACCTCTTTGAGATCAAATTTTGGACAAAACAGAAGAACAAAATGATGAAGGATTAAACATATATGGATGATCAGAAGGCTCTCTTCAGAAACATATGTTAGAATTGGACATATACAGTGATCAGATGTAGGGAAGCATAGATAGAGTCCTGGAATCCATCGTCTCCATTACCACCTAAAAGATCATCAAAACCAGAAGTCCAATGGAAGTAATAATCGAGCCACAACAGGTAGGAGGGAAGGATTCAGCAAAAGAACATCAAAACGTAGAAAGAGCAAGAAAGAATCTACCGCGCTCTAATTATAAAACTCAAACCATCCCTAAATGCACGAAAGGAACAGCCTTTTCGCATTTGATAGATCAGAGAACGGTCCTCAAGGCCAAAGATCCAAGTCTACCACTGAAATCTTTACTGAGACCAGTAGAAACTAGCACTAAAAAGCGTGCCAAAAAAGAAGAATAGATTCGTGAAAGGGAAAAGAGTTAACGATACACAGAGAAGTTCCAACAAAAAGAAAGGGACAAGGAACAGCGTCTTTGCGATCTCAATATTCAGTAAAGGAGCCGCCTTTGCACTAGAAACGATAAGCAAAAGAACAGAGGAAAGAGGGAAGCAAACGCACCATATGTACTCGGCAATGATGTTGTCAGTTGTGTTGCTAAGGTTAAGGTTGACGAGATCTGTGAGCAGAGACATGGCTGCTGTAAACGAAGCGATCAAAGCTCTCTCTCTCTCCTACAAACACAAAAAGGAAAAGATCTAAGAGCGAGGTGGAGAGGGGTGGCAAAAGGGTTTATATAGGCGGCTGGTGGTGAGATTGTGGAGGAAAATGGGCACTCCGTTTCTTTTGGTTAATTATCTATATATATTCTTAACCACAAACAAATATATAATTATTAATTAATTAATTTAAAAATATATAAATAGATGATAGTGACGAATACTTTATAATTTTTTATTTTATAATTTGACAATTATTATGGTGGGATTAGTAAAAAATTATGGTAATGGGTGATAGAATGACAAAGCTAACATAGCTTTTTGAGAGAAGTTATCTTTTTTTACTTATCTAAGAAAATAAAGAAAAAAAGTTGATTAGATTTATTTTAGTATTTATAATGTTAAGCAAAAATAAAATATCTTTAAAGTAAAAATAATGAACAACTATATATATCAAGATAAGATAAGAGAAGATTATTTAAGATGTTTTGAGTATATACTAAAAAAATATATAAAAATTTAATAAAAATTATAAATAAATATTTAAGTACTTTAAATTTAATCAAATATATAACTTTTTATATATTTCAATAATGACAAAAGATCCATATAGTTAATCTCAAATAATTGAGATTTATGATTTTATTATTATTATTATTATTATTATTATTATTATTATTATAAAAAAAATAAAAAATTTGATTCAAGATTATTTTATTATCTATAATGTTAAGCAAAAATAAATTATATTTAGAGCTCTAACCTTCTCTCTCGAACAATCCTCCCTCTCCACCTACTATTTGGCCACACTTTTTGTCTCTTTTGTCCTATTGTCTTTTTTTTTCTTTTTTTTTACAGTTACATAATATGCCACATTCTTTTTTTAAAATCATTTTTAGTATTTTAAGTTTGATCTTTTCTAATATTTTTATATATTTTAGAATTTTAAGTAAACATGTAGTTGATTTGATTGATCCATCCAATTACTTATTAGCTGAAGACTTAAGCAAGTAATTCCTTAATTTTATGACTATAAAATATCATATTAGAGTAAACATAATATCATTGTGATAGGTTTTATATATATATATATATAAGTTTAATTTCTAGTTGTTGAAATTGAAAAATAATTTGAATGATCCTTTTCTAAGTCGATCTCAAAATAATCTCTTTCAAATGTTTTTTGAATCCTTATGGAAATATTCCTAAGCTTAAGTCAATTGACAAGTCAGATAAATCAAGACTTAAGACATAGTATGTCCTGAGAGTGTATCTATTCATTATTTTTAAAGTACTTACGAGGATATATGGTTCATTATAGTTATTGTTATATTGCATCAAACTTAAGATTCTATAGCTCTCTTCCACGTGGCATCTATTATACATAGCCAATCGACTTTACCCGATAAATGATTTGTGTAACGCTTAGGTGGCGTTGAGCGATCGATTAGATTGTTCTGTCATATCGATCGCATAGAGCTGAGATATTCTTCATGCACAATTGAAATATCAATCATATGGAGTTGGCTCATCAATCATATGAAATCGAGATGTCCAAATAGAGCTAAGTTATGGAGTAAGTGGCATCAATATGGCACATTTTTACTGTAACAAGATCTTATGTCGATATCTACGTCAACATCTACATGAAAACTTCAATCAATCTCTGATAACTTTTTCTCTATATTCAGATAATCCATTCAAGATTCTTAGTATGTAATCTGAGCATATCAAACCACTTCTAAACAGGCAACCAAAACCAAATCAACTAGATTGAACATGACAACTGCAGAGATTGAAATAGCCAGCACTTCTTAGATATTAATAGAAGACTAATTCAACAAAATAAAATTTATCTTGAGAAGTAAATTAATTTTAATCTTAGGAAAATGCATGGTTATAAGTATCTGCAATTACAAATTGGGTACTGCTCCTTATTGGCATTGTTATACAAGTAATATACTAATCCAATCATACCATATGCAAACTAAGACTATTTTCCTTTTCTTATTATCTCCAATAAAATCTTAGGCCCTAAAATGATGCTATTCAAATAATAAATCTAGCTAGACGGTAATAATTCCTATCTAATACGGATAATAATTAAGGGGCTTAAACTTTAGCGCACGAGCGTGCACACACACACACACATATATATATATATATATATATATATATATATATATATATATATATATATATATATATATATATATATATATATATATATATATATAGAGAGAGAGAGAGAGAGAGAGAGAGAGAGAG